AAAATAAAAATAAAGCAAAACGTCATTCTACAGTCATCAAAAGGGAAATATGAAGGAAGTTGATACTATACAATGTGTCCTTTTCACTCAACTCTGTAATTTTCTAAATAATTAGATGTTAGCACTAATTGCTTTATTGGGTAATTCAAGAAGACTAGACAGTAAAAAAAGTGCCTCTTACAAAATTTCTTCTAAATGAAATAACATGAAAAGCTCTCTTTTTAAATTGTTACTACTAGTCATTTATCAACTTACCAAGTATAATCTAATGGACATTAGATTCTGAGAAATATTGTTAAAACAACCAAAAATTATCAGATGCCATCAATACAAAACCGGTTAAATGACCTGGGGTGCCTTCATATAATGAAATTCTCTAGATATAATGAGATATCTACATAGTAAATATATACAACTTTTGTCAACTGCACATTAATTTTAAAAATTGAGACATCTTTTCTGTTACGCAAAGAGGTCTAACTTATATTAAATAAAAACTCAAAGTTGCAAAATAACAATGGTATATCATCAATGTAACCATGAAAAGAGTAGAATGCAATATAAACACCAAAATCTATTAAGAGTGACTCCTTCTACAGAATGAAATGTATATTGGAGAAGAATGGAAAGATGCTTTAATCCTAGTTACTTCTATTCCCAATTTTGTTTTTAACATGGACTTACATTACATTTATTTTTCTTTAATTAAGAACCTGTCTCTGGTTTAGAATGGTTTGGCAATGTGTTTATAAGCTAGTCTTTTTAAAAAATAAATAACTTTTGACCAAAGAGGTGAAAGAATTGTACACTGAAAACTACAAAACATTTATGAAAGTCATTAAAGAAAACACAAATAATATCCCATATTCACGGACTGGAAGACTTAATATTATTTAGATGTCAACACTACCCAAGCAATCTCAACATTCAATACAATCCCTATCAAAATCTCAATGGTATTTTTTGAAAAAATAGAAACATCTATCCTCAAGGTTATATGGAAGTTCAAAGAACTCCAAATAACCAAAACAATTTTGGAAAAGAACAACAAAGTTGGAACACTTAACACTTCCTGATTTCAAAACACAGGACAAAGGTACAGTAATCAAAACAAGTATCACAGGAGCCAGCAGGTGGCATGGTGGTTAAGGTGTTGGACTCCTACATGGCAGACCACAGTTCAAGTACTGGACCCAGTGGCTTGAAACTCATGGCAGGCATGCACATGCATGTCCAAAATCTCAAGAGGAGAAGGGATTGTGGCATGGCCATCCCTCCAGGGGAGTGATTTATCACGTTCCCTCTTTCTGTCTCTCTCCAGCGACTGAACACACCCTATGGCAAAAACCTAATTAATAAATAAATATAATAGAACTAGTACCACATAAAGACAGACACAAAGACAAATGAAATAGAAAAAAAAAGTCCAAAATAAACTCTCACATATATGATAAAATGATCTTCAAGAGGTGCACCAAGGTCATTTAATGAGGAAAGGAGGGCCTCTTCAACAAAGGTGCTGAGAAAACTGTGATGTCTACATGCAAAAGAATGAACTTGGATCCTTATGCCATATGCAAAAAAAAAATAATAATAATTCAAAATAGACTAAAGATCTAAACATAAGACACAAAACTGTAAAACTCCTAGAAGAAAATAGAGGGGAAAAAGCTTCACAACAGTGCATTTGACTATGATTTTTTTTAAAAAAAAGATACAACACTGGGGAGCCAGCAGGTGGCATAGTGGTTAAAGGTGCTGGACTCCCACATGGCTGACTATGGTTCAAGTACCGGACCTGGTGGCTTGCTTTTACACTCCCCCACCCCCATCTCTTTCTGATCAAACTGAAAAATAATAATAATAAATAAAGTTAAATAAAAAATAATTCTTTAAAAAAAAAAAAAACACCAAAAGCACAGGCAACAAAAGCAAACAGACATATGGAGTACATCTAACTTAAAACATTCTGTGTATCAATCAACAAAATAAAAAGGCAACCTATAAAATAGGACAAAATATTTGTAAACTATATCTGATAAGAAATTAATGTCCAGAATTCCTATAATGCAACAAAAACAAATAATCCAATTAAGAAATGGACAAAGGACTTGAATAAACTTTCTCCAAAGCTGATATATAAATGCCCAAAATGCATATAAAAAGATGCTCACTAATCATTAGAGTAATGCAAATCATAACCACAATAAGATATTACATTATACCTACTTCACATAGCTCTTAGTAAAACAACAATCAACAACAAAAACAAACAAGTGTTGATGAGGACACTAATCACTGTGTATGTATGTGCAACATATATAACTGCATCCTGGTGCAGCTAGTGGAATCATAAAATGGTACAACCACTATGGAAAACATTATAGTGGCTCCTCAAAAAATTAAAAATAGAACTATTACATTATCCAGCAATCCTATTACTGGGAATCGATCTGAAAGAATTAAAAGCAGGGTCTCAAAGAGACATTTGTATGGTTTATTTGCAGCAGCATTATTCATAATAGCTAAGAGAGGGAAGCAATCCACAAATTATCCGCAGATGAATAGATAAACAAAATGTAGTATATACATACAATAGAATATCATTCAGGCTTTATAAAGGAAGGAAATACTGTTTATACGGCAACATGAGTAAACCCTGAAAACATTATAATGAGTGAAATTAAGCCAATCACAAAAATTCAAATACTGTGTGAATCTATTTACAGGAGGTATCTAAAGTACTCAAATTAAAAAAAAAAAAAAAACAGAATGTAGAATGGTGGTTACCAGTGACTAGTGGGAGGAGAATTGAGAGACTTTCATTTAATGGGTGCAGAGTTTCAGTTTTACATAATGAAAAAGTTCTGGAGTTGTTTCAGAAGACTATAAATATACTTAACATCACTGAAATATAACCATAAAAATTATTAGAATGGTAAATTTTTAAAATGAGTTGAATAATTTTCATTTATCAACTCTCTTCAACATGCCAAGCACGGTCAATATACTTTATGTTTGTTTATTATCTCAACTGGTCAAAGAGATAAGCAATAAGTCTTTAAGCGCTTCATTTTGTCTTTCCAGAAACATAGTCCACTGCTAATGAATAGCTATGCTTTGACCATGGTTTACAGAATGCCTTTATTTCTCCAATTTTCCATTTCACTACACCCAATCCTACCATCGTTAGTCTTCAAAATGAAAACAATCTGTTCAACCGTTAAATACTAATATGAACAATGACTTTTTGCCTTCAAATTTATAAGCAATTCAGAATGAGGGAAAGGGATAGATGTTATCAAACCATTCACTAAACAATTCTGTATATCAATGTCTCCCCTACTCACTGATATAGCAAAAGAATTCATAGTTGGTCACTTTCACCTAAATTTTATAATTTAGAATCCTCTCAAACTCACTGCAGTTTTTGCTACACAATTAAACATGATTATGTTGATCTTTTGAATATCCACTCCCCAGGTGGCAATCTTGGGAACATTATATAAAAGACTAGCCGTGTCCTAATTAACATTTTTTCCTCTCCTTTTGTTTTCTTTTTTTGGTAAGGTATTTATTAGGATGTTTTACTTGACAATAATAATCTCAAGGTTCTGCTTCCTAAAGCCTGAGTCTAAAGCTATTGAAATACCAGTTTACTGTATCCTGTTACATTTTCAGCTTCTGATCCAACCTTAAATAAGCAAGCAAATACAGTAATGGAAAGCATAAATTATAAAAGGGCACCAAATGGAAACATAACAGCTGATCACAGAAGATAAAGGCAAACACTGGTAACAGCTTTTTAAAGGACAAGAAAATAAGAGACGGTATAACACTGAAAAAGATCTCAAAAATAACAAAGTGAAGAAAAGTAGGCTTTTATTTCAAAGATGCATTAAATCTGCTTCAAGACATGAAAGAAAAAAATGCTTCATTTTTATTCATTCATGATTTCATAATTTCTACATACATACCATCACCTTTCCCTGGGCTCTACATCTTTTTCTTCCCCCCTGAAAGCATCAGTTACCTTACAGGTATCACTGCCCACTCCACAAAAATAATCACCCAGAACAGTCTGCCCTCATTGGGTCTCTCACCTATTCATCAGCAGTAAAGAGAACTGTGACAAGTATTCTTGCTAACCTGGCTACTACCTTTTGTGGTTATTCCTCTAATAAATATTGCCACACCTCACTGGGTAGTGTCACATAGAAACCAGTCCTTTCATGGAAAAATATACTAGTTAACAATCATACTTGTTCATTCTGTAAAAACGACTAGCACAGAGATGCTCACAGATACTTGATCAGCCTAAGTATGAGCAAAAAGACATGTGCACACACACACACACACACACACACACACAAACACATGTCAAACTGGTTTTTCCTAATAGGTACAATTGATGAGCAGGCAGAAATCACCCCTTGCCAACACAGACACAAATCCCAAATTCACAATTTTGTGAATGTACAATAATTTCTACATTGCTATTCATTCATTCACTCAAGGATTTAGCAGGTATGCACTCCCCTGTTCAGTCTTGGATAGAAGGACTTTGCCCCCACAGAGCTTGTGGCTACTTCATGGATGTGTGAATTCCTGTCTTCTCAACCATATTAGTATGCCAGGTTGCTCTCTGGCTTTGTGAGAAGAGACGGATGGTGTGGGACCAGCAGCTAGCGTAATGGCTATGTCGCTGGACTCCCACGTAGTTGACCGCGGTTCATGTCCCGGACTCAGTGGCTTAAAACTCATGCTGGGCACGTGTGCGTGCGTGCCCAAGATCCCAAGAGGAGAATGAAGGAGAAGGGATTACGGCGTGGCCATCCCCCCTGGGGGGTGATTTCTCGCTTTCTGTCTCTCTATCTCTCTCTGTCTGCCTGGCGAGCACACACACCCTGTAACAAAAACCTCTCCAAAAAAAAAAGAAAGAAGAGACGGATGGTGAGTGATTGAGTGTGTATATATAGAAGGGATGGTCAGTTTTTCACCTCATCTTTAGTAGCCAAGCCCTTGCTTCAGACAAGTCAGTTTGCCAGCAACTTCCATGTTCCCTTCACGTAGAGCACCATGGCAAGAAACAGAAGGAAACATAAGGTAATAGCTGTGCTCTTGAGATTCAGGGCCACAGGTTCGCTCCCAATGCTGATGTCTGGAACTTCGAACAACACATAGACATCCACTTCCATCCTTGAACTTGCTGTTCCACTATAAATAATCCGAAAAATGGATAATATGAGACAACCATATATAGTCACTGGACAGGAAGTAAGGAGGAAAACGGAAACATCCAGTGAGTTGAGCCCTACTATGGCTCTGACCCACTCCAGGCACATGTGCAGAAAGAGAAAACCCACACCAAGGTCAGGACTGGTCTAGCTGAGGTGAGCGGTCAGAGATAAAACTTCAGGGAGGTTGCAGCAGCTATAGCTCTGGAAATCTGCAAAGGAGTCCCTTCAAATGATAGGCCAAGCGCTGACCTGCTCAGGGACCTGGGGCTCACACAAGGCTGAGAATCATTTACATTCTCACCAGTCTAAGTAGAAAAACCTTGTAATACATAAAAGATCAGAAAGAGTCCCCTAAAGAGTTCTAGACTCAACTTGCTCAAGAAAAAAAGAGCTTACAGTAGACTCAAAAGGATCTCACTGATGCCAAGAAATTTAAATGTGTACTACCACAATATCTAACATTCTTTAAGGGAAGGTTTTTCAGGTAAAGGGAAAAAAAAAAAAAAAAGAAAGAAAGACCGACCGACCGACCAGATAGAAATCTGGACTTATACAAAGCAGTGAAGAAGGCCAGAACAACAATTTTCAGGTACACTAAATATAAAACCAGGTACTGCCTCAGAGTTTCTCTAGTCACTGATCTTTGCTTTTGTAGAAATCCACTGATGACACCAACAGGAACAAAGTGGTTCCTAACTCTACTAGTTCTCTCCCTAATCTTAGTCTCCTTAAGCTTTTATAGTGGCTCTACTTTAGCTATGATATGCCCAGAATAATACCATCCCTTGAATTGTCATCACATTATATATCAACATGAAGGGCTTTGGCAACTTCAAGAATTCATTCATTCAATAAGTATGTACTGGGTACGTTCTCTGTTTATTTCTAGGCCCTGTATGTCTAGACCTCAGTTTCCTCATCTCTGATATGAAAGTACTAATACTACTCAGCCCTCAAGTTTGTTGCTTGAATAAAATAAGCAAATATAGGTAAAGTATAAATAATAATGCCTGGCCATAGGAAGGTCTTACATGAAGGTTTATAATTATCATTACTGGTATTATTACTATTCCCACTCCTATTCCAGCAGCTGCTACCCATGCTACCACAAATAAAATAACGAAACAAGACCAATATGGCTCTTGCCCTCAGAGAACTTTCATTTGAAATAAATAATTAAAAAAAAAAAACCCTCTGGGTATAAATCATCTTAAATTTTGCCTGAGAAAAATGAGATATAGATGGAAAAAGAATACTGCTCAAAAAGACAGATATAATTCTGCCTCTTAAGTAGCTCTTCATCCTTAGTTAAATTATTTAGCCTATTTGAGCCTCAGTTTATACTAACAGAGATAGGATGAGAGAATCTTCAAGGTCTCTTTCAATTCTAACATCAGATGAAGTGAAACAGTGGATCCATTTTAAAAGTATATCATTCCTGCCCTTATTTGAGCAATTTGATCCTCACAGGGTCAAATTCCCATGGGGAAACAACTGGAAGGTTGTCAGAAAAGTCATGACATATTTTCTAAGTAAAATGCATCATGACTTTTCCAATGACCCAATAATTTTGATGAAATGAAAAAAGGACAATTTGTGATTTAAGAAGGTCAGAAGAAATATGCTTTGGTTTTAGGATTAGTTACCAAGGCCAGCTGATGTGTCCTTCTAAAAATGCAGACAGCAATATCCTGGGTTGTTTCTACCCATGGCTGGTTAAAATATCATTTTGATCTTTGAGTAGCAAACTAATATAATTAGAGGAAGCAAGGAAGCTCTTCCTTCTGGTTCAATGTTTGCATTGGCTCCAACGAAACAGAGTTCTCTCTCTTGCCTACAATGACATAACTGAAAGGAAAGACAGTAGTATACAGTAGAAGTTCCTTATGCAGGAAAAAAACAAGAAATACATAAATAGCTGGCTTCTTCTACTCAGTGTTTACACGTTTCAATTGGAAGCTACTGACTACAAACACAAAAACTCCCACAAAATAATTGCTTCAAATCTTTAACATGGGAACAGCAGATGGCATAATGGCTACATCACTGGACTCGCATGTAGTCGACCACAGTTTGAGTCTCAGACCCAGTGACTTAAACTCATGCCAGGCACATATGCGTGCGTGCCCAAGATCCCGAGAAGAGAATGGACGAGGGACTGTGGCGTAGCCATCCCCCCCCAGGGGGGAGGATGATTTCTCGCTTTCTGTTTCTCTGTCTCTGTCTGTCTTTCTGGAGAGCACACACGCCCTATAGCAAAAATCTCTCCAAAAAAATGAACATTTTCCTTTTTGATAAAATGCCACCCAATAAAGAGGTCTCAGTGCAAGAGGGTATCTGAACTACATGCTTGATGGTCCAAAAATAGTTGTGAAGAGAACTTTTCTGAAATTTTCCCAGTATTTTACAGAGAATAAGCCAAAATCTTTGTAGAATCATATAAAGTAAAAATCCCCCTATTAATCTTATCAAAAAGAACATGCTCTACAGCATTAACTTAGAAAAAAATAATTACTGTACATCTATACAAAATGTCATGTATGATTTCAGGAAGTTCTCAGTATGCCTGCAGTATACCATGGCCTTTGCAGAAGAATCTCTAGTTTAAAGTAGCACAACCAAAACACATCAAAGGAGTCTTTGAACTGCATGTGTGTTTCCACATACAGATACACAGAGTAAAATCTGAGGGGAAACTGCGTTTGTCTTTGGAATCACTGATTGTGGTACTAATGGACATGTCTCTTACCTGTTTGTCTACCTCAGATACCTATGGTACCACTTCATCTCTTCCTCCATGTCATTTTAATGGGGCAGCCAACCAGGCAGCCCTGCCTCTGCATCTAGAAGTGGACACATGGCATTGGCTTTACTGATCCAGATACGCTCTACCCTAGGCAGAGTGAATGATCAAGAGATGGCACCCAACACAAAGACCAGAGGTCATATATGGATGGATGCTGCAAATGGGAGAGCTGATCTCTTAGAAAATGCTCAAAAAATGAAATTAGCATAGCTAAAAGCAAAACAGCGATGGAACAAGGGGGATGGAGGAATGAGGTGGTTTAAATGACATCATTTAACTACTAGATACGGATGAGCCCCAAGTCAACTACCCCTTGACCTTTCCATTGCATGATTCAGTAAACCATGTTTCCCTTAGGCCAACTGAAGGGGATTTCTGTCCCATAAAGATGTGAAGAACTCTAATTCATGCTCCCCGTGACTAAATTAGATGAGAACCAGCATTTTGCCAAATGCCTCCCAAATGTCAGGGATCACGTGGGACTTTCAACAGGTACCATCTCTGCTCATTTTTATACTCATCCTGGGAAGGAAATATCATGGTTTTTTCATACGGGAAGATCCTGAGAAATAAAGTGATGTCAAAAACCATAGAACTAGCAGACAAGGATTTAAACCTTGCCTGCCTCATCCCAAACTTCATTCTTTCTCTACCATACTATGCCACTTTGAATCACAAATTCATACCTTTCATGCTATGCATTATTATTTTCAAAGAGTTTAATAGTCAACCTGATAATCTATTCATAAATCCAAATAAATGTCTCATTTTAGAAAAGGTTTTAAGGATTTGGCTGTTCGCAAACTGATACAAATAAGGTAAATAATCTCTTTGGCAAAGTATTTCCACTTTGGAATAACATTTTGCCAGAATGACTTTCCAACTATCTTAAGTAAGTCTACCAGGGACTTACTCCTTGAAACTTTATAGAAGTGTTGGTAAGTAAAATGCTAAAAAAGATAAAGAAAAGTTGCTAGAATGTAAAAGTCATCAACACTGCTCCCTGGGGCCATCCAGGTGGCATGGTGTTTAAGGCAGCTGGATTTCACATGGCTGAAGATATGGTTCGAGTCCTGCACCCAGCAGCTTGAAAACATACCAGGCGCATATGTGTGCTGCCAAAAATGTCGAGAGGAGAATTGGAGGGAGGGTCTGCTGAGGGGTGACTTCTCACTTTCCCTCTGTTTCTGCCTCTCTCTGGTGAGCACAGGTGCCCTATGGCAAAAATCTAAAATACATACACACACACACACACACACATGCACACACGCACACAAAGAAATTATACTGCTCCCCTACCACCAAGACAGGCCACCATCTGAAATTGTGTTCATTCATCTCCAACTCTGTCCTCACCAGTGGAGTTTGAGGGAGATAGACTCTGCAGCAAGGAAAGGAATATAACAAGGACAAGAAAAAATGTATGCTACAAGGTAAAAATCTAAGAAAAATGTCAAGAACCTGAAAATTCTACCCTCAAACCTGCAAAAAGAAAACAACACAGGTAAAGGTCTCATCTTCACACTGGGGAAGGTGAGGAAGAAGGGGATGGAGAAATTGTAATAAGTTAGAGTGTGGTGAATAAAATGTAGTGTTCTGCTTTGGGCATAAAATTCATTAAAAAGGAACTCTGAAAAAATCCTTTTTCCTACTAGGAGAGAACTAGCATGACAATAAGGAAACTCTGTTTAACTGGGCATTACTAACCTTTTTTTGCAAAACCTGGGTGTGACAGGTGGAACAGGTGGAACTTGAGGACCCTATTAGGCAATTGCAAGTTATTCTAATTATAGGTTGGATTATTTATTTTATGTAAGCACACAAAAAAATGTAAGAGTTAAAGCCATAGGGTGGCAGCCTATTTCATAACCATGTAATAGAATATTCCCTTTGTAAGGTAATTTACTGGTTTCTAGGTACTTTTGTGTTCACCATATCATTTACTTTCCCTGAAAGAGAGGAGAAACAGACAATCAGATATTTATTTGTTTTTATTTTGGTTTCTATTTTATTTTTTAATTAATTAATTTATTTTGGAGAGGTATTTGCTATAGGGTGTGTGCGCTCACCAGAAAGACAGAGACAGAGAGACAGAAATGGAAAATTATTTGCTGACAATAACATGTTTGTTGATGTGCTTGATTGAGACGATATACAGTGTACTCTGGATG